TCTCTCTCTCTCTCTCTCTCTCTCTCTCTCTCTCTCTCTCTCTCTACCCCCCTCTTTCTCCACCAAACTAAAAACTATACAAAAATTGTGGAAATAAAAAATAAATTTTATATATTTTTTTTTCAAACGTTCGATGAGCAAAATAGATTACATAGATTGAAGATTATGAACAGGCAGAAATTATGTAGTAAATTCTTTTCTTTTAAATTTTTTAGAAATAAAAATTGCATTTTATTGTAAATTGCAGTGTCTATTTAAAGAAGAAAAGATCATTTATGCATAAATAATCGGCAGTAGTTTTGAACAGCTTAGCGAACTCCTGGATCTCTGTCGCTTTATCGTTGAGAAGCAGCGCTGCATGCAGCACCAGTTATCCTTGAGTTCGATCCCCTCGATTCGATTGGACCGCGAGTGTGCGTGACCGCGGGCGTACGCACACGCATGCGAGTGTGGATTCACGCGTACGATTAGATTTATATGTATTGACCGTGCGTAAAACGCGATTTGAATGTAACCGCGATACGCTGGCCGATCGGTCTAGGCTCTCTGTAATTTGCGTGCTACTGTCCTCTTCCTTGAAATAAATTAGCTTGAAGTACCGTATGTGTATGTGTAACTACATTTCTTCAAATGTTCAATCTTGCTAGTTAAATACTCTTTAAAGTAAATCTCTGCACTCTGAAGAGTGAAATCTCATTTTTAAAGATTAAAAATTAAGCCCGTTCTTTCAAAACTGGCTTAATTTTCGTTCTTTAAAGTGAAATTCCACTTCAAAGAATTTAATTTTAAGAAATTAATATTGTGTATTTTGTAATTAGTCAAACAATTTCATCTAATTTAATGTAGCTTACAGATGGCATTAATTTTCTAGAAAAAAAGCATATTAAAGTGTTTTTAAAGTACTTTTAATTTCCAGAATTGTTATTATTCTTTTAATATTTAATATCATTCTTTGTCATTCTAAAAGTTCTTTTACCGATTTTTATGTAATAACCATAAAATTAATAAATAAAAATTTTAAGTTTATTTCATGTGTATAAAAAATTAATAAATATTATTTGTATATGCAAAATTGTTACGTGATTGCACGGACTTCGTAGTTTAATTCTTCACAGTATTTTTTCCTGTTACACCACGAGAATATTGCTGATTCCAAGATATCAACTTATTCCGTGAATATTAAATTGCTTGTGCATCAAAGTGTTGAATAAGTGTAAAAGAACGATAATGAAGACAAGTTATTCGATGTCGCGACTAAATTAAATATTGCAAATCCACTCGGCAGAAACGAAATTTTCGCAATCTCCACGTAATCTACTAATTCCGCTAATTAAAACGCGTAACAAACATCATGTAATTATATCGCACGATGAATTCGAGGAAGTGCAGCATCCAGCCATTTCTACGACCACTCTCCCAAGCTTTAAATTATTCTACTTTCTAGGGATTCCTGGTTTCTAAGAATTAAATATCAACGAAGCAGTAACAGAGGCAAAAGCTTTTTCATCAAAGAAAATAAGCGTCTCGTCACCTCAAAAATATAATGTTTGTTTGTTTATTCTGTTTATAATAAACATGTTTGCTTTTATAAAATAAATCCATGATTCTTTTCAAGAGAAATTTTGCCAGTTTTCTTCTGTATAAAAATTAATTTTTTCACTTTACGCGTTATATCATATCGCAAAGCTGTCATGTCAAAGCAACAAGAGAATATAATATTCTTAAATTTTATAAAATCTCTCGCTTTAATTTCATAAAATGCATTTATATTTCACGAATAAATTATCAGTTTGGCATGTTGAAAATAAGATACGATTTATATGAAATGTTTTTTGTCGATTTTTTAATAAAATTATCATAGAATTAATTAATAGACATTTTACAAGTCATTTCATTATGCGTGTAATAAAATATTACGTGTACTTATTAAATCTATTAAAATTACATTTAATAAAGTTTCCAAAACAGTAATTATATTAATACGTTTAAAAAAAAGCACTTATATGTATATCCTTATATATATAAATTGTATATATATTTTAAATAAGAGAGACAAATTATATATTTATATATTAATTAAATATGTTTTTATAAAATTTAAAATAAAATAATAACAGCAAGAATAAATATAGTAAACTAGTTTACTGACTTTCCTTTTCTTATCTTTTTCTAAACTTGTTTATTACATCTTTCCTTATCATTATTACTATTATATATTTTATAAAAACATATTTAATTAATATATAAATATGCCATCTGTCTGCTTCTTAAGGCATACATAATTTATAAACATAAATAAGTATTTGGTGCAAAACAGCGTTGTTATTACAAACAATAAAAATTAGAATAAAGAGTATAGACAATACATAAATATAAAGTATAAAAAAATTGAATAAAAATGTTAATAAAAATTGTTAACTTTATTATAAATCTATTAAAAAGATTAAGTCCTATTAAATCGTAAATTTGTAAAATTTTATTAAATTTGCTTCTCAGATTTGATTTCATGAAAATCGTAATTATTCATAATATTTGTAATAAATTATTTTGATATTTTGAAATTAATTTTCAATGTTTATATAATATTTAGCATGGTACAGATGCAGCTTTTCGTAATTGTAAACTGAATGTAGCGTTTACGGTATCCAATGGATGAAAGACTGATTCGGACACGTGCTTGCGAGCAAAGGTCATTGAAACGCAAGCGCCAACCGCACCTCATTGTATCGTCATTTTCACTGTTGAAACCGTCATGCATGAAATACGTCATTCCATCTATGAAATGGGGATTCACAAATGCAGTAGTAAGCTTACATAATTCGCATGACGCACATTGATAGTCTCAGTGCGATAAATACCAAGGACTTATGTCGCGCTCAAAGATTTCCAAATGCTTGGGAAAACTTAATTGTCACGAAAATTGAATTCTCACGTCTATAATGTTCGTGATGAACACCAAAAGTCCAGCGCAACGGAAATAATATATTAGTCATGCTGTAACCAATGTGATTGACGTCATGCGTCCATGTTAATAAAGTTCCTCGTTACAGAAATACCTGAGGCGTACAGTCAGCGATTTTAGGAATGCAAATGTATATATGTAGATTTTATTCCATCTTCATTCAGTCGCATGCATTTTTTAACAGGTTTATAAAAGTTCATCTATAGAACAAGTTATATTCATTTTATTTTTAATTTCTAAAAAATTATCCCTATTTATAAAACTAATTTGTACAAAAATAATACAATTTTATTATGCAAAATAAAAAGAAAAAGTATTTTAAATTTATCCATTCATTTCTTTTTTAAGTAGGTATTTCCACGTTAACACACAGGTAAACAAAGTTACTCACGGTAAAGTATAGTGTGTGTCAAAGTTCTATTAGATTATAACATAACTACTCTTCATCATAGTATCGATAAACATTAAAGATAAATTATAGTACTTATATTTGTTTACATATTTCTCGATATGAAGAATGTCTGTTATTTTTTTTTTCTTTTACACTTCAGATATGAATGCACAAGCAATAAAATAATAAAATTCAGAATTTAAAAAAACAAAAATAACACACACACACACACACACACTTTTAATATCTAGAAATAAGTGAAATATATAAGTCATTGTACGAGTATGTATAAATTTGCGAGAGAACGAAATGAGAAATAAGAATGTATAAGGGGTGTAACCGAGGGTGAAAAATGGAAGTAAGAAGGGCAAACTGTCATTTCCGACGGCTGCAAATCTCGGATTTTATGAAGCGTGGAATAAACCATCCTTTCGTGTACAGAAAGTGTTTCGCAAAACGTTTAAGAGGAAAATGTTAATGGTCACGCCATGACATGCGATTTATGCTAATACTCGCATGAATTTTGTTCCATCATAATACAATTATAAGTATATAAGCAAAAATTTTAAAAAGTACAAAAAATGTAATCAAAATTGATTCTTACAAAAATTCTTACAAAATTATTCTCTTGGGCTTTTGTGATTAAATTATTTTAATAAACCGAATTGTGAAAAATAAAATATATATTAAAACGCATTCTGCGTTAATTAAATTAAAGATTAACATTTTTCATTTATTTTAGACCTTGCTTAATATTTAATTTTAAATAATTCCATACTTATAAGTTTTCAGAAAATAACGCTAAAAAAAATCCTGTCACTGAGTAGGTGCTACCATTGATATATTGTTGAAGCTAAATACCCTGAACAATACCGTATGATTACAACTGTCACGTGTACTACATGCGAGTGACAGTTTCGTCTCATATCAGATGTGACAGAATAGTAAGTGACAAAAAGTAATCGTAAACGTTACATTTGATGTAAAAACAACACCGCGACGTACCGAGAGGCGAAGACCATTTCCAGCATGACTGGTAGCCCTCTCGAGTGGCTGGTGGGCGGACGGGTGGTTTCCCATTTCTCTTGAACGATGTTTTCACGACGAGCAATACTACTCGCGTCAAATATCCAAATACAACAGATCGGTGGCAGTTCCACGTATCCTTTGATGCACCATACACGATGTCACTGACGTCTAATGACATCCACGCTCAGTGACACAAGTGTGGCCTTTATGTAGCACACTTATCTCTTGTATAATATATAAGAGAGAGAGAGAGAGAGAGAGAGAGAGAGAGAGAGAGAACTTCACTTATTGGAGTTTCTTTTTAATACTTCATAAGCACCTCATTCAAATTTTGACAGATCTACTAGAAACACTACGTGAATCCGTTTCAATTTATCAACACCAGCCGATCCTTAGATTTTTCCACTTTATTACGATGTAGACTCTAAATTCTTATATTATTAGTGAATCCTTTCGCTTGATGGCATTCAGTAAACTTCTCACCAAAAATTATATCAAAGATATCAGCGTAGTCCTATATCAGTGCAAGCACTATTATATCACGAAATCGAAATTGGCTCTCACGCAACATCCATTCACAGTTTCACACACTTGATATATCACGACCGTTCATGCATCAGGCACTACACGCCTCACAAGCTGCGATCAGCTCCGAAACGCTCCACGCTGGAGCTAGCACTTCGCTCATGCGTTGATCGTAACCGACCAGGGTAATTTTAGTCCGGCACAACGGCCACTGAATGGATGCCGCGAAAAGGCAGAAGGAGAGAGCGAGAAAGAGAAAACGAGAGGTAGGGGCAAACGCTACTGCTGGTGATGGATGTCGCGATGCGTGGAGGACATGGCGGCGCAAGATGCTCCCGAGAGCCGGCCGGTAAAAACGTAACCAGATAGACGTAAGAGAGGAGACTGTTGCCTTCTCCTCTTTCTCCTACTCTTCCTCCTTTTCTTCTTTTACTTGGTCACTTTTTACCAGTGACCGTCCCGAACTGGTCATACGACTTGCTCCAGGCTGACGTCAGAGATTCCACCTAGAAGAGTGGGATTCTGATCAGTCTCTCTCTCCGTTTCTGGTCTCGCGACTAAGTCTCTCCTCTCTCCGAGTAGTTCACTCTCTCTACCTTGGACCTGCTGGTCGCAGATGTTGCGAACACCTCATGGATAATAGTGGAGAACCAAGAATTCTCCTGCACAATGCAATCGGCACTCTGTCTTACGTGATGTCTTACGAACTCTTTCTGTTATTTTTAAACGATGACTGTCTGTGCCCTCAATACGTTGCTACAAAGAGCACCACAAATTCCAATTGTATTTTTCTCGCTCTCTAGCCGAGTTTATTCTTCTTTTTTTGACAGCAATCGTCGCTTCCTCAGAAAATATGAGCTCCGTCATCAAGAATATTTTCAATGCAAATCTCACGAATTATAAATAATTCAATTGTGTAAATGTCGGACGGACAGGGATATTAGATACTACAAGATATGAGACTAGAACCAGCTTCATTTAACTTTTAAATCTGACATTTGTACGTTCTATAGATGAACATCTTCTCTCAGAGCACTTTTCCCACTCGAGGATATTACGTATAATCAATTAAACTAACTTCACACACTGCTTTAATGCACCAATTAATCACGGCCGAAAAAACTTCGGTATATTTTACAAACTAGTTCTCATGTGAATTTCCGTAATTTAATCGATGCAATATTTTCCCATCTAATCAGCCGTAAAGTGCAATATAATTTCCGACGAGGCAATTAATGCATCAGACACCGGAGAAGCATAAACAAGTTGATCTTTTCAGACGTTATTGCCTTTTTTAAACCTTTTTTATATGTTTTGTTATTTCATGTAATTATCCTTCTTTATCGCTAATGCGAGAGATTGGCACACAATATCAATATAAAATAAAAATTGTCTCGCGACAGATAAAAACATTTGTCGCAAAGATTATAATGCAATTATCCTCGAGATTGTTTAACATGCGTCAACTAATGGAGCAGCAACGAAGCGCAGCTACGCGACATAAGTTCCCACGTTTTTCCGTTAGCACCGTCGCCGTCACGCTCAGCTACTTCCGGCGACCCCACCGGAACTCAAAGTACGTTTAACCTCTCGTATGGAGAATCCAATTGAAGCGTCCAGGAGTTTGACACTTTTGTAGATCACTCTCGGAAAAATTATCTATCACTTATTTCCACTCCAGCAAGATTTATGCAATCAAGCGAATAAAAACGCACGATCACACAGCACGATAAAGTTCTTCAGCTTATGTTGACGAGGAAATGATTTAAAAATTAACAAAAATATTCACGTTTAAAAAATTGTTCAAATAATTGGAATAGAAAAACAATTTCTCATGTAATCCAACGGGCGGTGCCACGGCTTTCGAATGCAAGCTTAACGTTTTCACGATCTGATGAACGCGCCATCTAGATTCACAGGTAACACAGGTAGATGATTCAACAATATAACAATTTCATGGAGGACGCGAAGCGTGATGAACACTTATCAATAAAATTCAAATTTAAAAAGGGTATACCGCCGAGCTGTCTCACTTTTGCCGTACAAAACGACGCAACGCAACATTGTAGCAACTTTCACCGAACGGTATAGATGAGAAGAGTTCGTTTGAAGGTACACTCTCGGGCTAAACAAGTCTTACCAGCGAATATACGACAACCCCCCCTAAGAGACTCTAGACGCGAATGCCGAGGGACCAACAGACCCAGGTCGCTCTATCCCACTTTGCCGTTTGTCAGGGACAGATCTAGATCTTCCAGGCCCTTCCTTTAAAGATATTTTCTTGTAGTGTTTATCTTCTTTACCTCCTTATCTCCTTATCTATTTTTTAAATAAAATACTCTTACATGCGATATACTAGAATAAAGTTTATAAAATATATTTTATTTAAATTTATATATTTTTATAGATAAGATTAAGTTTATGTTGCGGGTTTTTCTTGATAAATGTTTTATACGCTTTTAAAATCCTTTATCCATAAATATATATTTTTCCAAATGATAAAGCTCTTCATTTTTCATATATATATATAT